AACAATGTCATCTTCAGAAGACGTTTTGTAAATAAATTCGACCCTGACCTTCATCTATTTACCGTAAACGAGTCGCATTTCCTCACCTAATTTACGGACCGGTCATTGTAAAATACAATTTTAAACAGCGCAATCTGTTACCATAATACGAGTCAGAATAAATTCTAACGCTCATTATGATACCAGATGGCGCTGTTTACTATTATTTGGTGGTTGATTTGTGAAATGTCAAAATGTTCACGCACCAGAACTGACTATAATAAATTAAAAGTAATAATGGAAATAGAACAAAACACAAATTCTAACTGCAATATTTAAGAAATAAGTCAAACAAGGTAGCATTTTACATGTGTAAATAGCGAATTTAACATTATGTAAGTAGGAGGTTGCATGCATAGACGTAAGCATATTAGCATACGCATTACAAGGCTAGGAGATCGAATTATGGGGGAAATTTTGCTCGACAGCTGTTCAGGTCAGACTTTTTCCATATTAATATAACTTATAATTCGACATGGCATAAATCCACAATTATATTACTGTCGGGTATTTGAGTGGTGACAGACATAAGGCCCAAACAAAACCAAATTGACCAGCGCAAGACATCGAGAAACCCGTGCAAGCGCCCTCTATTTATTACAACATTAAATCAATGTCATTGACTAAAAACATGTAAAGTCCTGCTTTATTGCATTTCCTCACCCTAAGATTAAATATAATCTTAAAACAATTTCACCTAGAAACCATAAATGTTCTGCTAAACCATTAGAACTGGGGTGAAAGCGTGAACTGAATAACCGGCGAACCTCATTTTCACCAGTAAAACACAAACCATTGTCAGAGACAACTCTCTTTAGTAAACCGTGCGTTGCAAAGATACTGCGCAATTTAATAATCGTTAATTTTGATGAATTTATACTGTAAACTAGCGCGTCTATCCACTTTGAATTGTGTCAACTACCACTAATAGCACCTTCCCCTCTCCCGTCTTTATTAGCCCAGCATGGTATATTTAAACGTTTTTTAAAATCGGATAAAAATTGTGACCTGTATAGGTTCCACAGGCTCATAACACGTTTTTTTGTTCAATCAGGGGCCATAATCTATGAAGTTACGGTCCCATACAAGCCAATATCGAAAGGAACCGAGATCTTTGGGATATTTACCTATATTTCAAGTTATGACCTGTAGAATGTCCACAAAGAAGGTGTGAAAATATGGGCGTTTAAAAACGTATCATCGATCTAGTGTCGAACGTACTATCAAACGGACAAGTGACATATAACGGACGGATTTAAGTGGAATTCTTTATGCAGACAAACACGTAAAATCAACATTCGGTCATGTGACATTTAGGTAACCATGAGGTTTTAGAGTAATTTCATGTTCTGTAATTTAATTTGTTCAGAGAATAAATTATACCGAAATACATGTTCATTTTTATACGTCCACATTCATAATGTGGACGTATATTGCCGTCGCCGCCCCTGTCAGGGTGTGTGGGTGTGTGTGCGTGTGTGTGTGTCTGTGTGTAGCCTACAGGCTACAATTCTTAAGTGATCATATTGAAACTTTACATACTTATTCCTTATACCCGAAGGATGATCCCTATTGTTTTTGGTGCATGCCCGACCCCCAGGGGTAAAGCCACGCCCATTTTTTGTATTTGTCGTCTTCCAGGCCACATTTCTTAACGTATCACATTGAAACTTTGCATACTTATTATTTGTACCCTAAGGAATATCCCTATCGTTTGGGGTGCATGCCCAAACCCAAGGGGCAGAGCCACGCCCATTTTCTTTTTGTGTGTCTGTGTGTCGCCTACCTATTCCTTATACCCTAAGGATGCCCCCTGTTGTTTTTTGGTGATTGCCCATACCCCATGGCAGAGCTACACCCATTTTTTCTTTGTGTCTCTGTGAGTTGCCTACAGGCCACGATTCTTAATGGATTGTCTTTGAACTTGGGATATGTATTTCTTATAGTCTAAGGACGACAACTGCATGTCCCGACCCCCAGGGGCAGAGCCACGCACAATTTTTGTGTTTATCGTTTACAGGTCGGAATTCTGAATGGTTCAACTTGGTACTTGGCATATGTATTCCTTATAGCCCAAGGGCATCAACTATTGATTTTGATGAATGCCCCCACCCCCTGGGGCAGAGCCACGCCCAGTTTTTGCCTTTGGCAACCAAAGGCCACAATTCTGAATGGATTATCTTAGAACTTGGTATACTTATTCCTTACATCCTATGGACGGCAACTATTGATGTTGTTATTTCAATAACCGGGTGGTACCTATTTATATTGATCCATATCCAACTCCCAGGGGCAGAGCCACACCCATTTTTTGTATTTATCGTCTACAGACTGCAATTCTGAGTGGATCATCTTGGAACTTTGCATATTTATTCTTATACCGTAAAGACAGCAACTATTTATTTTGATGCTTGCCCCGACCTCCTGAGGCAGTGTCACACCCACTTTTTTGTTAGTATTTTGTCTGTAAATTTGGCAAAACAAACCCAATGCCTAGCCTTCTTCACCTCTTATCATATTACAGCCATTTCATATTTCATTCTCTTCATTTTAAAAAGTACCATATCAATCACAGCTGGAATGTGGACGTATATTGCCGTGTTAGCGACGCTTTCGTTCAGACAAGTGTCTATTATTTGTAGACAATGGACAGTTTTATAAATAATAGCCGATTGTTTAAGAAAAGCGTACATTCTCCTATATACTAGTTAAAAACATCAAAGGGGAGGTCATACCTATGTTTTAACCGTCCATAGCAGGCAAGTTAAGGACGCTATTAACCCTTCATCCAACAGATCGTCCAAGCTAAGGTAAGAAAACAAGTTGCTCCTCTACAAAAAGAAATCGAATCTCTAAAATTACTGTTAGCTTCAACTTCTCTGCATCTTAATGCAACGGTACAAGATAAGTGTGACGAGCTAGAACAATGTAGTCGTAAAATCTGTATTTCATTAGTGGAATAAAAGAGGAGATTGATGAAAATGTTGAGTGTAAAATTTTGCGAGTACTTACCACTATTGACAACTCCTTAGGTCCAAACAACATTGATAATTGCCATCGTCTTGGTAAAAAAGAAGACACCAAACATCATCAGATAATTGTTAGACTACAAAACAAAGTGTATATCACAGGAAAATGGCCCATTTAGCAATAAAAGGTGTTTACATTAATGAAGACCTTTCCAGATATAGAACATATGTAACTAGTATAATGAAATGAAATGGAGTTTAACGTCCTACTGTTCTGAGTAGCTAGCGTAACACGATGGTCATGTATAAAGGGTTTTATTGCTGAATGCTGTACCAGAAATGGTAAAATCTTCATCCGAGAGAATAGTACTGTTCCAGGAAAGAATGGACCGACTCGCAAACTAAACAGTCCACTTGAAGTGTCCGGTTATAAACCGAAAAGCGAAGAATTAATTCATTTCCAGCTAATCACATTTCTTCAACAAGAGACGAACTCTGAAACCACTGAAATATAGTGTAATGAAAACAGATTTTTGTATATATATTATTGATAATAGTATTCCCCGTGACAATAATCATACCCCCTCCAATAATTCAAAACAACCCATATGGTTTAAAGTTTAAATCCCTAAAACGATTTGCCTTTCAAATTACCATGTTAAATAATATCAAGCATTAAGATTGAAATAAATGATTATTCCCTATGTGAGTTATTCTAGAGTATGTAGCCAACAACAATTATAGCCCCGTTTACACTTTGCCACGATAAGCGTGCAGTTCTGGACACGGTACCCGGCCAAGATAAATTTCAAGAAATTGACCCGTTTACATTACTCTAAAATAACCGGTCTCAGAACCGTGCCAAACACGCTAAATATGGAACTCTTCACAGAAAAGTTAATTTCAGTCCCTATACAAATTACCCAGATGAAAACAATTATAATGGTTGATTTAGTTTGAGCAGCCATTTTGACAGAACTGATGACAGAGCTGTCAAAAGTTTGCGGGGAAAAGGGAAAATTTTCATCCAGATTTTCCGACGTGGTTTCACCTTGTCAGTGGTGCAGAACGGAGGGCCTGACAAGGACAGCTGTCTAGTCCTTCGGATGAAACGAAAAACCGAGGTCCCGTGCATACATTGGAATGCACGTAAAACATCCCTTGGCAGTTGGAATTCGATATAAGAGTTGGCGATAATGCCGCTGCCCGGGCAAAATTTCCCTCATAGCACACTGTATGGCGTATGCCAGTCTTCATTAGCCCAGTACAGGAGCAGAACAGTAGGACGTTAAACCCCATTTCATTTCATTTGGCGCTTGGAATATCTGCTATTAAATAATGATGGGCTCAATAACAAACTTGCATCACCAATTGTATGTATATAGATCTTACCCATGATAAATATGTACATGTATTATCATAATTATTTGCCTGGTGTGTCCTCTATATCATCTGCAAAGTAGTGTACAATCATAAAATATTTGGCTTTCAAGAAATCACTACTAGTACAGTCAACACTACAACCTTTAAATTAGCATTCGCAATGCCATAATCTGTGATTTACAGATGAAGGCTTTTAATTTTTAGCAAAGTCAGTGAGCCTATGTTGCATCAATTAAATGTATACATTATGAAAACAGCTGATCCAATACAGTATTGGGTGGTATTGGGTAGTATCGGGTAAATCGTCCCGCTCTATATTATACGCTACTTAATATGAGGGGATATTAACCTGATTTAAAATGTGGCGTCATCCTTTTATGTTGGCGTATCATTATTTCAAAAAATGATAGGGCTATGTGCCAAGCGTACATTATTTATACTAGTTAAAAGTTTGGACCCGTGTGGCGTATTCCATTGCAAAGCACACGCGAGTGTCTGCATTTGAAGTTGTTTAATGGTCTTGAGCTTAAGACATTACTTAATGTTTGGCTCTGGACCATTAAACCACACATTTGTATTAATTTTAAAAATTAATTATATTTTGTGCAGGATGAAGCCGGGGATTTGCTGGTGTTTGAAAAGGAGACGGCCATCAGTAGTCGTCAGCTGGTTTATCCAACCTGTAGTATAATTATTCCTGTATTAAATGAAGAACGCTCTATACAGAAAACACTTAATGGCATCCTGCATGTAAGTTTATTTTTTATGCAGTTCGATCTTGTTTCAAGTTTGTGTTAACCCTGTTCAGAAAGTGGCTAGAACTATCATTCCCACTTATTGGATGTATATCTGGATTTAAAAGATGGAGTGCGCTTGGTTTTGCCAGACATCATTCCGACACGATAATAATGATAATTATAATGTAATAATGTATATTTATAATGCGCTTAATAGACCATCCATATACGCATGCTCAAAGCGCAACATTTAAGGTGTCTCTCGTCCATAATCTGGATGATACAGGTTAAACAAATGAGTTTGTGAAAGTTTGAGTTTCTAATGTTTACTGCCAGCTATTCCAAAGGCGATGTGCAGCAACACTGAAACCTTTAGCACCAAATTGTTTTAGTTTTGTTTTAGGAACAGTCATTGTTATGCGAACTTAGAATTCGTTTAGGTTTATAGTTTTAGTTCAAACAAATATAAGGGCGTGAGATCATTTTGACATTGATACACTAATTACAGAACTTTATACTGAATCCAGGTTTCGACAGGCAACCAGTAAAGAGAATTTAATAACCGATTTTATGGATGAATATTTTGTTCTTGTTACAATCCTGGCAGCGATGTTCGGGACTCTTTGTAATTTATATGTAAGTGTTTGGATGAGTCCGAAAAGCAGACTGCAGAATCAATAATTGACAGTATTGGTGCCTGAACTAATGTTTTAGCAGCATCTGTCGCGATGAGGTGGCGAATGTCTCTGATGCAACGTATATGATATAAAACAAACACGGCACAATTCATCAACGTGTGTTTGCATAGTAAGTGTTGACTCAAGGAAAACACCAAGGGTTTTCAGATTGCCAGAGAGGTCGATCATTGCATCACCGATTGTTGCAATCTTTTCTGTTATTTTCCGCAGTTTATTAAAGGTTTCAATTAACATAGCTTCAGTTTTTTCATCATTCAATTTTAGACTGTTGCGTGTCATCCAGGACTTAATGGACTGTGAACATGCTGCTATACGATTTAAGTATTCTTTAATTTGAGTGTAGTTGAAAACGTCAAGTAGCCACGTGTCATTGGCGTAGAAATAATGCCGGATACAATGTTGATCAGTAATAATACCAAGGGGTGTAGTGTATAGTACAAATAATTCAGGATCCAGCGCAGGACAATGTGTCATCATCTGATTTTATTTTTTTGTTGAACGTAACGGACTGGGTTCTATTTCTCAGATATGGCAAAAACCAGGCTAGAGGTGTACCAGATATGTTAAAATCTCTGTGAAGGTGATTCAAAAGAATTTTTATGATCAAAGGTATCAAAGGCTGCTGATATGTTTTACCATCATTAACAGCACATCTCAGATCATTTTTTATTACTCGGAGAAGTGTAGTTTCTGTCCTGTCGATATGCTATCGAAAGGAACACAGATCTGTAAATGTTAACTGATATCTCCATAATTTTCGATAAAAAGGACAAGTTTGAGACTGGACGATAGTTTCTGAGCACCTTAGGATCCAGTGATTCTTTCTATGCGATAGCTTGTCAGGAAATATTTCGGTTGCAAGATTAGAATTGGAGAAGAATTTTGATTTCGGTCAATTGATGGTCACCATTTGGAATTCAATATGAAAAATAGTGAAATATCCACCTTAACGGTCGTAAAAATATACACATTAGGCCGTAGTTTGGAGAATTCGCCTCCTATTTTGAAAATAAATACATTTTCTAGATAGCCTGGATCAGGGTCTAATTGTGGGTATTTGAAAATTTCAAAATTTCGAATTTCCATTTTGATGTTCTTCATGCCGACAAAGTGGTTTACGAATGAAAAATTCGCATTAACGGCTTTGAAATAATTTCCGAAAGTATTACATTTCTGGATAGTCCGACTCAGGTTCAAATTTTTGTGACATGAAAATTTCAAATTTCCACTTTGAAGTTTTTCGTGGCGACAAAGTTGCTTAAAGGACATTTTTTCCCCTTAATTTTCAAAAACTTTGAAATAAGTTCGACTGTCGATGACAAACGATTAAGTGCTTATTTTGAAAGTTTTGTCAAAATCGGGTTGTAAACAAAGGTTCTGTGCAACTTTTAAAATGTTAAATTTTTCGCGGTTGAATACTTACCATTACAGCTAAGATAATAATTCTTTTCTGTTAAGATTATTGATAAAATCAATAACATCTGATAGAAAGTGATGCATAGCCATTATGATGAAATCCATAATACAGGTAATTTTGCCCGGTTAAAATGTTTCTCGTTATAACTCGGCGAATTTTAGGCCGATCTTAATAATTCTTTTTTTCTTTTTAAGATTCTTGATAAAATCGATGATTTGCGACGATAAATATGAAAGCTTTCATATCTGCCGGATCGATCGGATATCTTCGGTTTTACTGGGTCAGTGAGGTGTAACTTAGAGATTATAGCCATTCCGAACATTCTGCGACAATGCGAAATGTCCGAAATCACCGAAGTTGTCGATTTTTGAAATATTGCCCTAGTATTACCAATAATCGTCGGATTTTAACACTGGATACATTTTGACATAGCTATGGTACTAAAGATTTTGATTTTCGACGAGTCTTCACAGATATTAGGCGCCAAATTTTGACAAAAACCTTTTTCATTTATGAATATTTTATGACATTTTACCCAAGGTTAAAGGGACATCTGATCTAAGCAAAAATGTGTCGATAATTTTCCTTTGCTGTCATTGCCTAATTCAGTTTATGGGGTTTAGGTTAATTATTTATTGCACGATTTGTATAATACAAAGTTCATATGCTCCGTGGTGCAAATTCTCAACTTTTTTATAATCGATAAAGTTATCTGTCGGCACCGAAAGCGACGTAATTTTGCCAAAAGCTACAATAATTTTAACGGGGTGGAACGTTTTTTTCAAAAGGAAATATTAATGTTTACAAATCTGATAGATCTAGATAAATGCCCCTACTAAAGGCGCAAAATATATCGGGCTCAGTTTTTTTAATTTCGGTTTTGTATTTGCGCCATTTCGATTTAAAGGTGAACAGGGGTGTAAAAATGAGCTATTTACAATGCATTCAGACTTTCCATATTTTAAAATAATTTTTCGTTACTTTCATAAACTTGTAGCATTAATTCATACGAAGACATACGAAGACAATCTTTGTCAAAATTAGTTTCTAACTTGGTGCGTTGCCGAAAATATGCGATTTTACGCCAGCCACTTTTCAGGGATTTTTGCCCATAAAAGTGTCAACTATTATTCGATTTTCAATTTTCTTTTCACCATTTGATGTCTAATGCCACTTTGACTAGGTCAAACCAATTAAACATTTTCAATGTGACTGGAAACTGCGTCATTTGGCAAAAACTGTATTTTTGACCTTCAAAGCAAATATTTTATTCAAAAGGGTCGTATTTGTTTAACATTATGATATTTGATTACTATCAACAAATAGAATGGACCCATACGATCATATAGATATCACAAAAGGATTTCTAACTTGTTCAGTTGTGGAGAAGTCACGTTTCGAGGTTTTTGGTCCATAAAAATGACAATTATTATTCAATTGTCATAACATTTCCACCATGTGATGCCTAATGTCATTTATGGTTTCATAAAATCAATTCAACATTTTCATTATCACCGTAAGTAATGTCATTTTGGAAAAAACTGTATTTTTAGCCTCCAAAACAAATGTTTTTTTGGAAATAAGTGATATTCATTATTCGTATAAAATTCTGGTATTCGATTCCAATTAGCAAAAAGGATGAATCAATACGAAATGAAATGAAATGAATTGTGGTTTTATGGCACGTCAGCTCCAACCGGGCTATATTGCGCCAAAGAATCAATACGATCATATAGATATAAAAAATCCCTTCAATTTCTCTCATGCAAAGGACATTCAAAGTGGTTATTTCTGTAATCCAATTTAATTTTTTTTTGTTGATAACTGAAGTGATGCCATCGTGTCAAATCTTCGTTTGCTGTAATTTGTTTATGACATATGTAACAAATATATAAATGGAACTGATATTGTTGGATTTATTGGCTAATTCAGCGTCCATTTTATAACACGTTGAAATCTGTTTAACTGTTCTATTGGTACGGCAAGTAACGTCAGTTCAAGGGTAACGTGGCACCGGTCGTCATCAATGCATCACAGTTCTAGTTATTATTACTGTCATTGTTACAAACCATAATACTTTAGGTGTATTCGGCTAAGTAAGGACTGTATATATTGTAGCATATAATTTGTATTGTAAAAAGGGATAGGGATCTTAAATATGCATTTAGCCCGATCCCTGATCTCCCATTCGTTTATAGTTGAAAAAAACAACAACAAAAAAAAAGAAAAACAAACAAACAAACCAATCGAACATGAGGTATTAAAAATGCCTATTACACACAGTATTGCAAATTATCGGAAACAATTTTGGCACTAGGAAACAGTTTAGGCTTTGGTAGAAATGCTGAAATTAAAATATAGGCGGGAATCCTAATTACCGTGCTAATTTTATCTGCCCCCCCCCCCCTCGAAAAAAAAAGAATTTGAAGGGTTTTTGATTGCTCAAACTCCCAAATCGTATCTTTTGTAAAGATTATTATTTAATTTTCTAATACTAGGTAAAACTGCACACAGTGACAAGTTGACTGCTTTATCCTTCGTAAAGCCAAAACGAGATTTGAAAGTTCACAATTCCATCGTTTTAGAACAAATTTTAGTATTATGTATATATATAGCGTCAATATGATGCGGTCTTTTTGAAATTTACACTGGTTGTCTGTCGTATTGGAAGGAAGAATCCTATTGAATTTTGTTTATAACTTTTAGAGTTGTTTCTCTTTGTAACGTAATCTTAGTAGCGTTGTGGAGACTTTACTAATGATCCCTGTTTTTCTAGAATTTGTATGAATTGTTAATCCATTCGAGGGAGAAACCTTGTCGATTATAAAGCCAGTAATTATATCCTTTTGTTATCTTCCATTCTATAATATTCATTTAGAGATGTGGAGACCCCAGTTTGATAGAAGAAATAATATTAAGTGATGGTGGCAGTACCGACAGTACCTTGCAGATAGCAAAGAGGATAGCTAATCTTACTACTATACCAATTCATATTGTGCACAGCTGTCCGGGTAAGTCTCAATTCTATTCAAGGAATAATCTTATCAATAAGAAATAGTGTGACTAGTCGGTAAGGCGAAACTAAAAAATACCAATGGGTGTCGTCTACGTGTATTTTCCCGTTTTAGAGCTATATTTGTGGAGACAAGAGCATATTAACTTCGTTTATTCATATTTAAAAGTGTTGTACTGCTTTTCTGTGGGGTGGTCGCTTATTACAACACTAGCGATGACAACCCAGATAAACAGTTAAAATTGTACTTTTGATATTATACTTTGTTTTATTTAAAAGTGCCGTAGTGCTGTTTTCTGGGGATTGTAGCTTATTCCAACACTAACGATGATAACTCAGATAAATAGTTAAAATTGTACTTTTGATAAACTAGTGTCTAAAACTAGCTAACGGTCACAATAGCGAGATAGGTATCACTGGGCGAGCCGAAGTTACAGTAGAATATAGAACATATATAAAAGCTTCGGATTAAATAAGTTATATGATAATATTTGATAAGAAATGTTAAAATACACACAAGAAACAGATGTTTAAATACAGAAGATGATATGGATATAGCCAGAACGCGTGTTAACTATAATATACTCGTTACATTAGGTATAAACTTAAGCAGTTAAAAGATCTGAAAGATTAGTCAGATATCAATTCGGATATTGGTCAATTGCTATTTTGACAAAATTAAATATACTAAGATAAACTATAAAACACCCTTTCACTTCGACAGGCTTTTGACCCTAAAGGTAAAAAAAAAAGCAAATAAATGAATTTATATGGATTTAGAAAATAGTTAAAACAAGGGAGCACCATAAAAAATGCATTAAAATACAAAGAAGACATTTAACACATTTTTAAGAGAAACAAATATCTTACAATACATTCACACAAATTGTCTATCAAATTACAGATACGTCTGTTGAAACGAAGTGACGTAATATCTTCATTAAGCCTGTCTTCCACTAGGCGAATTTTTTCGCCGCGAAAGATTTCGAGCAATCGCGCTTTTATTTCATTTTCCACTACACAAGCGATTGTTTCGATCATACTTTGTTTCATAGCAGAATTGGCGCGAAAGGTTTCCTTCCTGAACTTCCACAATGGCTGCTGCTTTTAATCTGAGATATTTACTCTTGTTAAAGGTAAGATTGATTAACATAACATTCAGTTCAGCCATTTTGTTTGCGGGGAGAAACGAGAATGGGGTGGCCTTGGCCTCGTGAGTTGTATTACCACGTGAGAGTTTACGGAATTCTGATTGGCTTGCTCCTTTTTTCGCGGCTGGAAGGTAGAAACTGGTCGAACTCACTTTTTCGCAGAGAAAAGAGCCAGCGAAAAGTGTGACGCCGCCTGAAATTATACTGCGCATGCCTGTACTCGAAAAAATTCGCCTAGTGGAAAACAGGCTTAACGCCGCTAATCTAGAAATCAGCTTTTTAAGTATACGATGTTTTCATCAGCTCCATTTTAGTATTTTGTGTATCATAATCATAACCAAAATTTGCATATACAAAGTTCGAGGTCAGATGCACGACATACGTCAGTTAGTGAAAACTTCCCCTTAAACCTGTTCTGTGGTTCTGTTAATTTTGAGCGACGACTTTGGCACGCCTGATGCAGATATGCCAACGATACGTCACCTAAGCAAACGTGTGACGATATCTGAACGATACGTCGTTTCAACTGCAAGATATGCGTCTTTGATCTTGCATTGTTTTTTGTTTTTTTGGGTTTTTTTTATAATTTTCACATAAACAATATTTTTATTGAGAATTGTATCTGAATATGGATTGGGGATGCATCCAGGGGATGACTTTGGCCGGAATCGCCTTACTGCCAGCCACGCTTTTTCTGCTCATTTGAATACCCATTTTTCAAATACTCATAGTGTCCTTGATGGATGAGATAGAGATCGTGTCTCAAAATACCGATGATACTTGTTGCCATGGCAACTGCGAAACGCGACAATCTGCTAATGTGGCAGTGAGAAAAAGTGGCTTGTTGCATTTAAGCGGCATGTGGCACTGAAAGGGTTAACCGGAAATGTGGAATGGACTGGATACAGCTAGTATCCAACCCATGTTCTATTTTTTCCCCTAGCAAAAAATCCTAGGGGGAGAAGGGGCGTGTCCCATTTTCTATAGGATGGAATTCTATAGTATTCTACAGAATTGGCCCCAAATATTCTACAGTTTCTATAGTAAATACTACAGCCTTTCCTGTAGATTTATGTGAAAATTAGAAAATAGTATAGTATTCCATAAATTGCTTTTATAGGGCTTTGAGTTGGAAATTCTTCAGTTAAATCTTCACGATCGAACTCGGTCAAAGTTTTGAAGTGCTTGGTAGTGAAACTCTACATAAAGTTTCACCACTCTCCATAAGTTAGAATCAAATTTATCTTGTCCCAAAGCATCGACGAATGAAATTGCTTAGCTCTGCTCAGCTTTAGAGGAAAATGTTAATCATTGAATCCAGCCAAGACACAGTTTAAACATTCTACCAAAATTAAAAGCAGAGTTGTTATGTTCCGAATTCTTGACCAATCAAATTGTTTATGGCTACTTAGCTTAAGCAAAAAAATAATCATCGAACTTAGTCAAGGTATTGATATAATGAATCTATACTCATCACTCTAACCCAATTTAAACCAAACTTATCGTGTTCCAAAGACTCAGCAAATAAACTTGCTTACCTCTGCTTAGCCTTAGTGGAAATGCGCATGATCGAACATTGTCAAGGCATTCACCTACTAGACACCTACGGCAAGTTTGAAAATTCTACCCCAAGGAGAATCATTGTGTTCCAAATTCTCTACCAATCAAATTGCTTATCGCCCTGCTTACCCTGAGCAGTAAATCCTCACTATCTAACTTATTCAAGGTTTTGATATAATGAAACTATACACCAGGGTTCATTACTCTCACTTAATTAGAACCAAAGTTATCGTTTCCAAAAGCATCAACCAATCAAATTGCTTATCTCTGCTTAGCCTTAGCAGAAAATGCTCATCTTGGAACTCCATCAAGGCATTCACCTTATAAACAACTAAACTATCTTTGAACGTTTTGGAGTGATATACGCCACCCAGTTCATAAAAATATTCACAAATGGCGTCTGGCCCCTATAATTACTCCTATTAAAGTCTAAATTGGCTAATGCCCGCCGCATTCCCCATAAAAAACAGCTTTCTTCTATTACTAATTCTATATCTGGTGAATAACTAACTAGAAACTAGTTCGTGGTTCGTTATTTGATAATAAGAAAGTCCTCGTTATTCAGGTAGAAAGATAGTGTATTAGATTCTATCTCCAAAAACTTTGAGCTGAGTGTTATAACCCAATCAGGTTCATAAAAACCCACATCCGGCGTATCCCCTATGAATAACGAGCTGTTTCTTAATATCGAATAACGAAGCACGAACTATATTGTGGTTCGTTTTTCGATGATAAGAAACAGCTCGTTATTTAGGCGGAAAGACCGCTTGTAAGAATCCCCCATGACTTTCAAGTGAAATAACCCAATTCAGCTCATAAAAACCCACACCCGCCAGCACTTTTAATATTTTACGACTTCTATATCTGGTGAATAACTAACTACAAACTAGTTCGTGGTTGCCTATTCGCCAATACGAAACAGCTAGTTATTCAGGTAGAAAGACACCTTGTTCGAATCTATTTCCCAAGATTTTTAAGTGTTATAACCCAATTGCCTAATGCTACAGTACCACTACCACGCGTAACGCGAATATAAACATTAATTAACCTACTTTGATCGTAATGATGTCCATCCCTACTTATGAATTAGCATAGACCCGTTAATCTTTTTAACAGTTAAATCCATAAAATGTAAATTGTATGTCCACACTGAGAAAAAACTTATATGGAAACAACGCAAACTTGTGTTGAAACAAGTTAGGTGTCTCTATTTAACAACTTGTGTTAAAACAACACAGACTTGTGTTGAATGTTGAAACAACACAAACTTGTGTTAAATGTTGAAACAACACAAACATGTGTTAAATGTTGAAACTACACAAAACTTGTGTTAAAATTTATCAAACAACACAAATTTGTGTTGAAACCTGTGTTAAAATCTTCACATTACTTGTGTTGAAATTTCTGAAACGTGTGTTTTTTCATACAAACTTGTGTATAACCACCATCCAAAACTTGTGTTGTATTTTACCAATTTATATCCAGTATAGCAACCTTTCCCCCCACCCCCTCGTTTTTTTTGTTCACACTGTAATGTTTGATAAATGACATAACAATAATTTTATTTGTTAAATTATTCTTTATTCAAAATCAATACTTAACAGATATCTCGAAGGTTGATAAACAAAGTCAATTCCAATACTAATAAAATTGTGTTGTACACTGAAAAAATACCCCCCCCCCCCCCATTCATGAAAAAATAGCTAATTAAATTGTAAAAAAAAACAAGCACTGAAACATTTGTAATATTAATAAACAAAGTTAATTCCAATACTTATACAATTGTTTTCAATAATAACAAAATTCCCCACCCCCAGTCCCCAATCACAAAATGAAAAAAAACTATTAAAATTTTCTTTTTAAAATTAACCTTAAAAAGAACTGAGAATATAATAGATATGTACACAATATCCCTACCCCCATGCCCCCAAAACATACATTTTAAATATATCTAAATATAATAACAACCAAACCAAGCACAAAAGACATAAATTATGCACTAAATTGAAATACTTTTAAGAGTAATCCCTTAAAAAAATTAGGAATTCACAAATTTCTACAGTACATAAAAGGGAACTAATAGATAAGGTACAGGACAAATAATTATACATAGATAAAATAAATAAAGCATAAACATCAAATAAAATGGAGAATTTTAAAAATTTGTAAAAAAAATATTGATGAATAAAACCATCTCATATAAAAGAGGCATTAACATTCGAAATGTTTACCAATTGTTTAAACATAATGGTTGATTTCATCATACAATAATGCATTCTTATAATCA